GTTGTGCAGTGCACCAATATTGTCTCTTCCAGAGAGAACATAAGACTTTGTAGTACTCTATGACACCTTACACAAAGGGTTAGGAAGCATACTGATGCAAAGGAATAAAATCATTGCACATGCATCTAGACAACTTAATCCAAATACCAACTACATTACCCATGGTTTATAGTTGAGAGTTGTATCGTTCGCCTTAAAGATTTAGAGGCACTACATATATGGGGCGTGGTGTGTCATGTTCACCAACCACAAAAGCCTTCAACACGTCTTCGACCAGAAGAAGCTCAACATGAGACAAAGAAAGTATGTCGACTTACTAAATGATTACAAATGCAAAATTTGTTATCATCCTGGTAAAGCAAATGTAGTAGAAAATGCTTTAAATAGGAAAAGCGAGCAAGGCCTCTTCATGTAAAGGCTCTAACCCTAACCAACCACCAAAATTCGAGATACTCAACTGGAAGCACTCAAACTCGAAAATATCATAGAATAAAACCTGTAAGGTATGGACAAATAGTTCAACCTCAAGGAAGACGGAACATGATATTTCATGAACCAAATTTGAATCCCAAAGTTTAGTGAAGTCAGGATTCTAGTCTTAAATGAAGCTCATAAATCAAGATATTCAATACATCCCGGATCAGATAAGATGTATCTTGATCTCAAAAGCTTTGTTGGTGCCCAACATGAAGGCAGAGATTGCCATCAATGTTAGTAAATGTTTGACTTGCTCCAAAGTTAAAGCAAAGTACCAGAAGTCATTAGGTCTACCACAACAACCGCCAATCCCAAAACAAAATTTGAAACAAATAACCATGGACGTCATAATGAAGTTACCACGAACTTCAAGCGGACATGATAGCATTTGAGTAGTGGTTAACCGTTTGACCAAGTCTGCCCATTTCATAGGCATAAAAGAAACCGACTAGATGAAGAAACCTCACCATGAACTATCTCAAGGAGATATTCAGGCTACATTGTGTGTTAATATCAATCACCTCAGACGAGATATCAGA